GGGCACCATGGGGTCCTTCCGCGGAGGTCAAGATAGGATGGGATACAAATGTCCGAAATAAATAAATAAATAATCTACTCATGTAGGAGTTTAGAAACATTAAAAAACAGCCCCCCAAAATCTAGGTTGACTTATTCATGGGTCAATGTGAGTACTCTACCTTAACTATTACCAAAAAAGGAATCACCTCCTTTGAGTAGAGTGGTGGAGTCCCTGGGGCTGTAATGGGTTAAACCCTTGTGCTGGCAGGATTGCTTACCGAGAAGTCAGCAGTTCAAATCCAGGGAGAGTGGGTTGAGCTCCCCCTGTCAGCTTCAGCTCCTTATGCGGGGGCATGAGAGAAGCCCCCCACAAGAATGGTAAAACATCAAACATCCAGGCGTCCCCTGGGCAACATCTTTGCAGATGGCCAATTATCTCACATCAGAAGCGACATGTAGTTTCTCAAGTTGCTCCTGACACACAAAAAGGTAGAGTGGTTAAAAGCAAGGATTTGTCTGTTTTGTGAAAACCTAAAAGAAGCATCGATCTTTTCTACAGTCTCTATCATAGTGCCACTTATGGCCTTTTTGAATGCTTGGGTGGAGAAATGGTGATGGCCATGACCAGGGCAGCTGTCACACTTGTCTGTGGAATGATCCACAAATTATCCACAAGCTATATGAAAATCCATAGTTTTAGTCCCAAACCTATCATGGTTAGTCCCAAACCTGTCCTTGGTTTGTATGTGACATCAATGTATACATGTTTTTGTTGAAATCTAAACTCTTTACTTCAAGATATAAGTCAATTGTCCAGTCCTGGAAAATGGGAGTTCTGCATAGTGTAGGAGTGAAGACCACTTTTTTCCCACCGGGTATTGCATGCCTGCAATGGGCGAGGCCATGGACACAAGTGGAAGGAACCGCTCCACCTAATCCTTTTACTGCAGTGGCCTTTACAGGGAGAAATTTTAGCAGTATAAGCAAAAAGGTACCATCTGGTTTCTTAACTGATATTTGTGATAAGGAAAAAATGGATGAAGCAATGAAAAATCACAACAGCATAGCCTGAAAAAGAGAACATGCTAGTTGGGAGAGTCTGGGAGCTGTAATCCAAAAATTAATTTTGCCAGCTCAAATGGGACACAACTTTGGTGCCATTTGCCACCAAGCACAATTCAAAGTGCTGGCTTTAGCCTACAAAGCCCTGAAGGATTCCAGCCCAGCTTACCTGTCCGAACATGTCTCCCTTTATCAACCACCTTGGAGGTTATGATCCTCTGGGGAGGCCCTGCTTTCAGTCCCACCTCCATTACAGGTATGGTTTGTGGAGATGAGAGTCAGGGCCTTCTCAGTGGTGGCCCCTCATCTATGGAACTCCCTCCTCAGCCAAATTGGATCAGCTCCCTCCCTCCTGACCAGGAAAAAACTAAAAACGTGACTATGGGACCAAGCCTTTGGTCAGTAATTTTTCGATCAGTACAATAAGGGAATATGAAATAGTGAAATGATGAATGGAATAGCTCTAGATTATGATCTTGGACTATGTGGTTTAATTATTTGTTTTAATGCTTTTAACTTTTTAGATTTTAATGTATTTGTTTATTTTATTTGTATGTATTTGTGCAACATCAGATTGTAAGACTTCTCTGAGTCCTCTTCAAGGTGAAAAGAGTGAAGTATAAATGTGGTAAATAAATAAATAAATGTGTACAATTTTGAACAGAAGTTTTGCTTGGACTTTCCCTCTCCTTTTTCCTGCTACAAACATTCCTCAACCTCGGCTTTCTTCTGCTAAAATACAGTTATATTTTTGGCCCCACCCTTTTGCCTTTGAATGTGGCCTCAATAAGAACTATATAAATATATACAAATACAAGAAAATACTGTAGTGACATCAAACGACTCAATAACTCAATAACTTATCTGAAGATGAATTCGACCCTTGGGCTGAAGAAGACTACCAGTCCTTAGACTATAGCCAGATATTTAAGAGGTAGAAATCCTGGATTCAAGTTCTAGCCCAGCTATGAAACTCACTAGCGGCAGGCAATGATTAAATTTACCATTTTCTCTCTCCTTTTACAATTGGTCACCATGTCAACATGCTACTGTGAGAAAAAATGGGATATAAAATGTAAGAAATAAAAAATAACACTATATAAATATATAGAATTACAAGAAAATACTACAGTGACATCAAAAGACTTTTATAGGAAAAGGTGCCTCTGGCCTCCATCTGAACATTTTATACCTCTCTGAAGGCTCTATCTTGATCATGTTTCTCCTCAGTCTGACACCAATCACCCAGAAATAGGAAGCATCCAGACTAAGGCATAGATTAGATCTACCAAAATTAATGATTAAGTTACTTGTGACTATGTGCCCATTATTTCATTTGAACTAATCTAAAAATGAGTAGGTATGGCACCAATCCAATGTTGTCTTCTTCCAAGAGAAAAGAAACAGGATAAATGGGAAAATGGCAATAACAATTTCAATAAATAAAATTTACTTTTATCAATGACTGTGATAAAAGTCACTGAATAATATTTTCTATTAACGGGAATGCATACTTTCCTGTTAATAGGGCCTTCTCAGTGGTGGCCCCCCCGGCTTCAGGATGTTATCCTCAGGGAAATCAGGCAAACCCCTACTTCAATACTTTTGGAGAGAATTGAAAACATGGCTTTTCAAGCAGAGAATGGTTAAGGCACCAGCTAAACAGCTTGCTATCCTCCGCTAGCACTTTAATGTTAGTTGGGATGTTCAACTTGGTTGTATAGCCTGTTTTTAACTAGTAGCTATTGCTATGGTTTATTGAACACTTTATTTAAATTGAGTTGGGTTTTTGTTAATTTCTGTAAGTATTATTTTATGTTAATTGTGTTATTGATATTAATAAATGCTGGTGTCTTGTATTTTATGTGGTTTGTGTGCCACCTTTTGTGCTGTTCTGTAAGCTACCCCAAGTTCCTTTTGAGAGATGGTGGCGGGATATAAATAAAGTTGTTGTTACTATTGTTGTTGCTGCTGCTATTATTATTATTATTATTATTATTATTATTATTATTATTATTACATCCTTTCACTCAGATGTGTTTGGGACATGTCACCTTATAGGAATGGCCAAATCAAAATTAAGGACCGGGGGAAGGACATTAGCTATGTGGCATGAGAAATGTATCTGAATTACTTTTAAGTGAGTATTACAAAGGACAGAAGCCTAGTTCTTACATACTACTATGCATTAATTTAAAAGTGCAAATGGTGCACATTGTCCAGGGGGAAGCCTCACTAAACTTTGTGGAACTTTCTTCTCATCACTAGACTGAAGCATCTCAGATGTAGGAATGCAACCCTCTTGAGGCTTAAGAACAATCAAGCTATTTAGATTAAAAAATCAGTGTTTTAGAGGCTGGGACTAAAGTGAGTTGTTTTATGCTGTATGTGTATGCGTTAAATGTGTTTGTCAAATGTTTTGAAACGGCCAATGGGTTAATCAATAAAACGTATTCTTCTATTCAGTCGTTTTGCAGTTAACTCAAGCAAAGAGATGCAATTTAATTTGGGAGCTTGCTAAGTCATAACTTATCCTCTTACCCACTGCATTCAACATGATTCAATAAATGTATCCCCGGGCTCACTCCTAGGTCCACATCCCATTGGGTGCTTTATTGCTTTAAAGCTTTGTTATCTCTCAGAAATGTAGGATCCGTGGTTTTGCCTCTTCCAAAATCAGATTGTTGATTCTGCTTCCATAAAAATATTAAGTGGGTGTCCCTATTGTTTGTATTAAAACTGGAAAATGTCCAAAGCAACAATGATACAGACTGACTTCCAGACTTCCGACTCTCTCCTTTTCTTTCTTATCTAAAAATTTCACCAATTTTATTTCAATGGATTCTCAAAACTCCCATCTTCACCATGATCTATAGGGCTTGTAGTTAAGTATATTTATAAAACTGTTTTTGTGGAGTTCACAATTCGGATAGACTGGCGTATTCCCGCCTTTGAGGCATGATATAATTGAGAATGCTCAAGCTGTGAATCAGAGGGCTATATCAGTCACCAACTTGCAAGATTCTTCAAATAGACATAACTAGATCCCCTTTCATGTTGCTGTAGTAAGAAGCTTTGCTACATTTTTACCAGTTTTCCTTCCCATACATTTTGGAGTCATCACGGTAACTTTTAACATGTGTCCCTGCAGTGTAGTTTAACATTTTGCATGGTGTCCCATTTTTCCTCTGCCCTAGGATAAAAAGCCTGGACCACCGCAGAAGAGGAAATCTGGCTTGGAGCTGCTTGTTTAGGTTTCTTTGATATTAGGAGATCTAAAGCCTGGCCAGGAAATATGTTAGATTGAGGGCTGCAAAGCAGAACAAAGCTGCCTCTCACCAAAACCATAAAAACCTTCACCATCTGAAAGGTCAGGGACAAAAGAATCTGTAACTTACACCACATCAGCCTTAGTTTTGCAGGAAAAGAAGCAAACATGAGCCCAAGAGAGAAAGAGCCTTGATTTATCGCCAGACCCAGCGAGCCAAAGTGTGATATGTTTAGTGTTAATTCTTTGATAGACCACAGCTAAAGATCAAGAATTAATTTTCCAAATAACTTCATCAATATGTGTGGCTGGAAAGCCAAAAATAGAAAAGGGGGGATTTCAACTCTTGGCAGCTTTAAGGGCACTGTGTGTCTACCTGCTGCCATACAAAACAACTGATATGTCTCTGACACTACAATATAGCAAACATCAGAGCTGAAAAAATAATTTTTAAAACTGCAGTTCCCAGAGTCCTTCAGCCAGCAACTTTGGAAAATTTGAGGAAAATCAATTCAACTTCCCCAAGCTCTGCCCAAATTGTACCAGATGTTTACTAATGCGGACCACTTTCAAGTCAACTTTGGAATCTCTACAAAAAACTTGGGGGCAAAAAAAACTTGCCATCATGCTAGAGTGCCATCCCCCCCATCCCACCCAAAAGAGCAAAAAGAAATCAAAGGGCACTTTACCTGGTAAATCATGACTTTGAAATTTCTGCGTTTCAGTAGCTCTGCTTCATTGGACTCCAGCTTCTTGATTTGCCCAGCTTGTTTCTCCAGATTCTGCCGGACGGTTTTCACATTGACGCTGACCTTACGGACCTTCTCCAACATCTTGTTCACTGTGTTACTGGTAGTAGTGTGAGCCTTGGTTAGCTTGGCTAGCTCTCCCTGGATGCTGGTTACCACACCATCCATTTCTTGTTGCCTCTCCTCCAACTGGCTTTGGGTCAGCTGAATCTGATCCACAGCCCCAATAATCTTGTCCAGAAGGGTGAGCACCATAACACCATTGATCTGGTCAGGTTTGATAGGTTCATCGCTGGTTGGGTCTTCAGAGGCCTCAGAGACTGCTGGCTGTTCAATGATCTGGAGGGTGGTGTCTGCCATGGTTGCTCAGGAGTCCTGGCTAGCAGAGCTCAGAGAAGTCTGACAACTGCAGGGACAAGAGAAGGAGAGAGAGAGAGAGAGAGGAGGGGAGGCTAAATCTGAGATCTCTCAGAACTGGGAGGCAAGCCAGCAGTCAAGAGCACAGCAGTCTATGGATGTGTGCTTCAATTGAAATGGCTCAGCCCATGCAAGGCTGTCCAGGGAAACCGTCCTGCAAAATTTTCCAAGCTTTTAGGCCATTGGCTGACTCCACCTCAGCTGGAGGAGAGGAGGCTCCTGCCCAACGCCTGGTGGACCCACCCCTTTCTCCCTCCTTTCTGAAATGATTAAAATAGTTGGAGAAGAAGCTTTAGCATGTAAGCACAGGCAGGGTTCGCTCACTGGCAAAGGAATGTAAAACTCCCCAAGTCCAACAGACTCTGCTTTGACTAGACAGTAGGAAGGCAGGGATTCCTAGCAAGATTTCTGGGGCATCCAGTGAGGAGGCCAAGTTGCGGGGAGGGAAGGCAAACAAACAAAGTGCTTTGTTCAAAAAGCTGCTGATGAGGAAAAAAAAACCTGAGCTGTTCTGTGCACAACTGCAAATATTCAAGGGGTACTTGCCACAAACAGCTGCACGGAGAAGCACCACTGGCTGGGAGAATCAGAAACATTCCTTCTCTGCTTGGCTTGTGCAAGGTTTTGTGTTGCCTTTTAAAGGCACAGAGGCACAGTTTCGGACACATGTGGCTCAGATCACTCATTGCCCCATACAACGGACTTTATGGCTGAGCTTATTCCTCCCAGAGTTGAGCCCATAACAAATGTGTATGTCTGACAGACACACTTCATATGAATTCTTTCTGAATTAAAAGAGAGCTCTTTGGAAAATACTGCAGAAGGAAAGGGTAACCATATTGCAAATTCTAAGGGTTTTTTTTTGTCGTGTCAGGAGTGGCTTGAGAAACTGCAAGTCGCTTCTGGTGTGAGAGAATTGGCCGTCTGCAAGGATGTTGCCCAGGGGACGCATGGATGATTTTGATGTTTTTATCATCGTTTTGGGAGGCTTCTCTCATGTCCCCGCATGAGGAGCTGGAGCTGATAGAGGGAGCTCATCCACCTCTCCCCAGATTTGAACCTGCAACTTGTCAGTCTTCAGTCCTGCCTGCACAGGGGTTTAACCCACTACGCCACCGGGGGCTCCGTGTAAATTCTAGGTACCTACTTGTGTTATCAAACCAATGCTTTTTAAAAATATATATTTTATTTTAGGACACACGGATACACAAATACAAGTTACAATTCCCTAGCCATGGCTAAATGTATCAACAAAGTTAGAAAAAGTTACTTTTTGGGCTACAACAAAAAGTATGAGTTGAGAGTGTGACTTGCCTAAGCTGACTCAATAGTTTTCCATGGCTGAGTCAAGATTCAAACTCTGGTCTCCCTGTGTCCTAGTCCAGGGTTGAAAGCATTACACTATGTTGGCTCTCATGTTTAAAATACATAGCTTGCTAATCCACAAGTGTCTTCAAAGCAATGTAGAACAAAGTAAGTTAAATATAATGGTGAAGCACTCTACCATCATTCATTTAAGAAACAGCAGCATAGAATCATAGAATCATAGACCCAGACCATTAGCCTGCCCAAAGAACTTCTCTGACTTTGCCTTTTTCTCCTGATTCTTTCCTCCTGAGGTACAGCCAAAGTAAGAAAATAGGGCAGTCCCCGAGTTACAAGATCCGACTTGCAAACGTTGAATACTTAAGAACGACAGTGAGATAACAGAAAGTAAGAGAAGGGAAATTTATTCCTGAAAGAGTTATCATGGGGAAAAAGGTGTCTCACCAATTCTTGTTTCCACGGGACATTTTTTTCAAAACCCAATTATCACAGGGACAGAGGTGAAATCTTCCAAACAGGGGCATAGACAGCAAAACATACACCACAATGGTGTGCACCCTTCCCTATGCTATACAAACCATATCTATATCTACAGTATATCTATATCTATCTAGCTGGAGTTATACATTCCAATTGATATACAAATTCAACTTAAGAACAAACCTACAGAACCTATCTTGTTTGTAACTTGGGTACAAACTAGTGTACTAATGTATCTTCCTAACAGTCAGGAAAGTGGGGTTATGGTTCAGAGTTGAAGAAATTTTTGTATAATCTCTCCCATTTATGATGCTGCAACAGCTTGAAAATCAGTTAATGATTTTGCAAGGAAGTCTGATATCTTGCAAGAGAGCCGATGACCTCTTGCAAGATATCTGATAAAATTGTTTTCTTTGTACCATTAAGGCTTCTCAGACTTGCTGAACCTTGGTCAATCTTATGACAAAAAGGTCTGACAGCCTGTGGATAGTGTGTAGGGTACAAATGTGGAAATCCTATACTCAAATCTTTCATAAAATGTGAAATACACTTCTATTTGCTATGGACACAATATATGTGGTGCACAAGAGAGAAATATGGTCATAATGGAACTTCCTATCCAGCTCTGTATCCTTATTAAATCTCTGTGAATGACCTTGTGAAAAAAATGAACCAAAAAACCCCTTTTCACACTAGAAGCAAAAGGGGCTTTTAAAATAAGGTTGGATGGGTACTTTCATTGTGCTTTTCCTGCATGACAGGGGGTTGGACTAGATGGCTCATGCGGTCTTTCCAGCTCTGATACTATAATTCTGTGGTTCTTTGTTGGTTCCAATTATACAGTTTTTCAAAGTGTTTCAGACAAGTTTATTTTAAAATAATTATGTGCAACTTATGCATAGGTTATCAAGACAGTACATACAAACCCATAGTATATGTTACACATATACAAAACATATTAAACAAATGAGGCCTCATTTGGAATACTGCATTCAGTTCTGGCTGTTTCGTTTTAAGAACAATAAAGGCAAGTTGGAGAAGAGCAATGAAGATAAGATCTGAGGAAAATTTGAAAGAGCCATGTCCATTCAACTTGGGGAAGAGAAGACTGTAGAGTGACATGACTGCACTCTTAAAATACCTCAAGGGTTGTCATAGAAAGAAGGGGCGAAGCTATTATCTGCTGACCCACAGGTAGAACCTGGTCTAATGCGTTGAAGATTGATTGAAACGAAAAGTTGCACAAAAGTGATTTGGCAATGGAATCATTTGTTAAGAGGTGATAGGGATTTCCTTCTGCAGATGTCTTTGGAAAGAGGCTGGACAGCTAAATGCTGGGGGTGCTTTTACTGGAGATCCTGCACTGAGCAGGAGATTGGACTTGGCCCATGAGACCCCTTCTAAATATATGTTAAATTGCATTATTTGGGCTAGCAACTGAAAACATTAGGAAAACCCCACTAGTGAACAGCTGTTCCACATCAATGCAGTTGATACAAGTTATCTACAATTTGTATGTTTTTACCCTGTTTCCCCTTCCCTTCTGCTCCCTCCCCCATATTGTGCTTCAGTCGTTATATTTATATTTTTAATGTACCAAACATACCAAGTTTGTATGAAAATGTGACTATTTTCTGTGCTGGTCAATGACCGAAATAAATGATTTGATTGGTTTGATACAAGTTATATCTCCTCATTACTGGAAAATCTTTCATCTTCCTAATGAGGATTCCCTATATATTTAAAACTACAAAATAATGCATTATAATAAGATTATTCATACTCAATTAATCTTTTTTGCTGTCTAATTTAGTCTTTGTTATATAATGAGTTATAGCTGGCTTACAGTTTTATAAATAAATACAGCTGACATGTATAATTTTAAACGGCCCATTCTGTCAAAACAATGTAAGGTAGCTTTTAAATGCAGTCTTTGTAGGTGGCTGTGGAGCTCCATAGAATAGCACGGTGTGCATTATTTTGCATTTATGGTGCAGCATTTTCACAATGCATGCAATATAATACCATTGTTTACCTTATTTGTATAGGTAGACAAACACAGCTTCTGTAGGAACAGCCAACATCTCACTCTTTCTAGCTTTATTGCATTATTTAGTGAAAACAAACTCCTAACACCAGTCATCTGTCTTTCTCCTGCTCTCATTTACTGCCATTTCAATGACAATGCTACCAAAGAATATTCCAGTTAAATAAAAGTATGAAGAAAAAAGGCAGGTGTGTGTAAAAAGCACCTTCTTTGTCAGCAGCTTTCTTAACTGAGGTATGCCTACTAAACACTGAATAGGCTGCTATTTTTACCAATTAGATTTTTGAGCATAAGAATTATTTGAGGGTAGTCAATTTATTATGCAGTCTCCCTAATTTTCCATTCTCCACCCACACATTAATGGTTTTATTTGCACCTCCATCCCTAGATATTAACAATCCCACCTGGATTTTCCTCGTTTGCTACGTGTTGAAAATAACTGACCATTTTGTACAGTTATTTCCCCAGGCATTCCACTCTTTCCTGACCATGCCCTTGAAGATAAACATTTCCAGGACTTGAGGTTGATGAATCAGTTTTACACTGAAGGAATTTGATTCAAATGAAAGCAAGGACTTTCACCTGTTTTACTCGTATGCCATCTGAATTAGAGATGTGCTAAAAAAACTGAATATTGAAGCTCTTTAGCATGCAAGCTGTTATAACGTAGGGAATACTTAAGTGCTTTATTCCAAATATTTTTAAAAGACACTAAAATGCCCACATTCTTGCTGGAAAACTGGGCTTCCTAAAGAAAATCTGTTGTGCTGCTGGCCCTCCATAATTGTGGGTTTAACTTTTGTGGATTTTGTGAATATAATTATCTTATCCTCCAATGTGACTCCTTGGTCCATTACTATTAAAAGCTGATCATAGAATCATGCTTCGAAGTCCAAACATTGGATATCTAGTAAAACACAGCCTATTGTATTGCTTCAGGGAACTTTGTTTAGAATCTGCTAATCTATTAGATTCAATGCATGATTCTGAGGTAATAATACAGAAATTGGAAATACTCCTTTATGAGCCACAAATCCCCAGATCCCTTAGTAATTTTCCCAAGCTCCCATAGAGATTTTTTAATAACATGAGGAGAAATGGATGGAAAGGTACACATAACTTTGAAAACACAGGCTTCTGCCTAGCAACCAAAAAGAAGAACATAAACAGCATGCACCTAAAATGTTATGTATCGGTTTCACAGTCCAGCCAATGTTACCAACATGGGTTTTGGATCTGGAATGACTTGGATTTCATCCAAAAATCTAGGAAACAGTGAAATGATATTTCAAGCAATGTTACTCTTTCAACCTGTGTTATTGTGACTCTAACTATGGTTCTTTCATTCAGATGTTTGATCAGACCATTTGGAATGGCTCCAAGAGCACCCATGACTACTAAAACTGGAGCTGTTTTCTTTTCCCAGAGATGTTGGATACCAATTTGTAGCTCTTGACCTTTCACAATCTTTTCCTTACCTTTATCTTCTATTCTGCTGTTTGCATGGATTCTTATATTATTATTATTATTATTATTATTATTATTATTATTATTATTATTATTGCTGTTGTAGATCTAGCCTGCGCAGTACAGCATGGGAAGAAGGGTTCAATTCTCTTCCTGCTCTGTTTGTACTCCAAGCCAAACCAAAGTGTAACTGACACACATATTGAACCGGTTTCATTTCGGGAGGAAGGTTTAAAATAATTACAGGTTGAATATCCTTCTATCTGGAATTCTGAAATCTGAAATACACCAAAATCCATAATTTTGCACAGGGATGTCTAGGATAGTGACACCTTTACTTTCTCATGGTTCAGTGTACATACACTTCATTTCATACACAAAATTACTCACAATTTTGACTTGGATACTTAATTGGAAACTGAACAAAGTATGAAACACCAGCTCTATCTCCAAGATATCTCATTATGTATATGCATATAGAAGTACAGGCAGTCCCCTAGTTAGGACAAATATAGGTTCTGTTCTTAAGTTGAATTTGTATGTAAGTCAGAACAGGTACATTTTGAAGAGTAATTCCAGCCATATATATATATATATATATATAGAGAGAGAGAGAGAGAGAGAGAGAGAGAGAGAGAGAGAGAGAGAGAGCGCACTTTGGATACCATAGGGAAGGGTTAATACCCCCTGTGGTGTTTGTTTTGCTGTATATGCCCCTTTACATAAGATTTCCCTTTACTTTCTGTCCCTGTGATAATTGGATTTTGAAAACTTTTGCTTTTGTGGAAACAAGGATTGGTGAGAAAGCTTTGGTGGAAACACCTTTTCCCCATGATAACTCTTTCAGGAGTGAAGTTTCCTTCCAAGGGTCAGATTTTTTTTCACTTCCTGTTGTCTCACCCCTGTTCTTCACTATGAGTAATTTGTAAATTGGATGTTTGTAACTCGTGATTGAATTCAGAAATCCTCCAAAGTCAGAAATTCCAAATATTGCAAGCATTTTGTTTTCCGTTCTTGAGTTGGGAGTAGAGTAACTCCTTAGGGAGGCAGAGACTGTACATTCAAACAATGTGGCCAGTCCAGCAGAGTTGATGGGAGAGGAGCATCGCTTCATTGTTGGTGGTCTTTGCTTCTTCCAGTACCCTGATGTTTGTCTTCCTGTCTTCCCATGAGATTTGGAGGATTTTTATTTTTGGAGGCAATGCTGATGGAATCGTTCCAGGAGTTGAGTGTGACATCTGTAGACAGTTCACATTTCACGGGGTTGGGAGGGCAATAGCTTTATAAACAAGCACCTTGGTATCCCAATGGATGTCCCGATCCTCAAACACTCTCTGCTTCATTCGGAAAAATGCTGCACTCGCAGAGCTCAGACAGTGCACTTGAAGAGCTCAGACAGTGTTGTATTTCACTGCCGATGTTGACTTTTGTGGAGAGATGAGTGTTAAGGTAACAGAAATGGTCAACATTTTCTTATGTTACATCATTAAGGTGTATTTCTGGCATAGCAGAGGCATTGGCTGCTGCTTGCTGAAAGAGCACTTTGGTTTTCTCCATGTTCAATGAAATACCCCCTTTTGAAATAGGGCAAACCATAATTTTTTGGGCCTATCTATCTATCTATCTATCTATCTATCTATCTCTATATGTATATGTATATGAATGCATGTACTGGAAAAAAACAACTTATATCCCCATACCAAGAGGGAAATGCTAAAGAATGCTCAAACTTTTGTACAGTAACACTTTCTCATGCCAGTAAGGTAATGTTCAAGATCCTGCAAGGAAGACTCCTGCAATACATGGAGCGAGAGTTGCCAGATGTACACGCTGGGTTTAGAAAAGGCAGAGGAACAAGAGACCAAATTGCCAATATCCGATGGATAATAGAGAAAAGCAGTGAGTTTCAGAGAAACATCTATTCTGTTTCATTGACTATTCTAAAGCCTTTGACTGTGTGGATCATAATAAACTGTGGCAAGTTCTTGGTGGTATGGGCATACCAAATCACCTTGCTCTCTCTGTATAATGACCAAGGAATCTGTATAATGACCAAGTAGCAACAGCGAGAACTGGCCATGGAACAACAGACTGGTTCAAGATTGGGAAAAGCATACGGCAGGGTTGTAAACTCTCCCCCAACCTATTCAACTTGTATGCAGAACACATCATGCGATGTGCGGGGCTGGTGAATGCAAGGCTGGGGTTAAAAATGCTGGAAGGAACATTAACAACCTTAGATATGCAGATGATACCACTTTGATGGCTGAAAGCAAGGAGGAGCTGAGGAGCCTTCTAATCAACGTGAAAGAAGAAAGCGCAAAAGCTGGGTTGCAGCTAAACATAAAAAAACCCTAGATTAGGGCAACAAGAATGATTGACAACTGGGAAATAGAGGGAGAAAACGTGGAGGCCGTGGCAGACTTTGTATTTCTAGGTGCAAAGATTACTGCAGACGCAGACTGCAGCCAGGAAATCAGAAGACGGTTACTTCCAGGGAGGAGAGTAATGTCCAATCTCGATAAAGTAGTGAAGAGTAGAGACATCACACTGGCAACAAAGATCCGCATAGCAAAAGGAATGGTATTCCCCATAGTAACCTATGGATGTGAAAGCTGGACCATAGGGAAGGCTGAGCGAAGGAAGATAGATGCTTTTAAAATGTGGTGTTGGAGGAAAATTCTGAGAGTGCCTTGGACTGCGAGAAGATCCAACCAGTCCATACTTCAGGAAATAAAGCCTGACTGCTCATTGGAGGGAAGGATATGAGAGGCAAAGATGAAGTATTTTGGCCACATCATGAAAAGGCAGGAAAGCTTAGAGAAGGCAACGAGGCTGGGGAAAATGGAAGGAAAAATTGTGTATTGTTGTTAATTGTATACTTTTCTATAATATGTTATGATGTTAACTGTTTTTTATACTGTGTTATGGTATGGAATTTCTGCTGTTCTTGTTGTGAACCGCTGTGAGTTGCCTAAGGGCTGAGAACAGCGGTATACAAATAAAGTAAATAAATAAATAAATAAATAAAAAGGAAGAGGGGCTGACCAAGGGCAAGATGGATGGCATCCTTGAAGTGACTGGCTTGACATTGAAGGAGCTGGGGATGGTGATGACCGACAGGGAGCTCTGGTGTGGGCTGGTCCATGAGGTCACGAAGAGTCGGAAACGACTGAACGAATGAACAACAAAAATTCTTCATAGTAACCTATGGATGTGAGAGCTGGACCTTAGGGAAGGCTGAGTGAAGGAAGATAGATGCTTTTGAGCTGTGGTGTTGGAGGAAAGTTCTGGGAGTGCCTTGGACTGCGAGAAGATCCAACCAGTCCATCCTCCAGGAAATAAAGCCCGACTGCTCATTGGAGGGAAGGATACTAGAGACAAAGTTGAAGTACTTTGGCCACATCATGAGGAGACAGCAAAGCCTGGAGAAGACAATTATGCTGGGGAAAGTGGAAGGCAAAAGGAAGAGGGGCCGACCAAGGGCAAGATGGATGGATGGCATCCTTGAAGTGACTGGCTTGACTCTGAAGGAGCTGGGGGTGGTGACGGCCGACAGGGAGCTCTGGCGTGGGCTGGTCCATGAGGTCACGACAACAAACTGTCAGTCTGGATAGATTTTCAGAGGCAGTGTCAAAGCGTATGACATCATCCACCCACCGCGGAGTGACGCCATCAGAACTGCGCCCGCCCACTGCTCCTCGTCCAAAGAGAGCAGGCAGCAAAATGGCGTCGGTCCAGCCAGGCGCAGGCTCCGTTGCTAGGAGACCTCACTAACCGGGCGGAAGAAGGGAAGGGCTGTGCGTCCTTTACGTGCCGACGCTGATGACGGAAGTTCTGACGTTGCGTGTCCTGACTAGGCGCTGCGGCTGGTTTAAAGGTCTGTGTGGAGGACGTCGGCTTGTTTTCTTCCCCAAAGATGGGAGGGGGTGGCAGGGCAGGGCAAAGGGAGGGGGCAGGCTCTGAGATACATTTTTTGCGGGACAGCTGGGGTCCAAAGAATATCTAGTGTGACCCCTTCCACTTCCAGGTTCACTGTCTTCGAGGCTATAATCTTCCAAAATATTATTGAGGTTTGTTCTCTGTGGGCGAGGAAGGGGAGATGTCTCTGTGAGGGAATTATTTAAAAGTCTCCTTGTTTGCCAGGGTTTTGGAATATTTATTGAATATTTTATTGATATTTATGTATTATTTATAACCATGTCTATTTTGGTGACCTGTATTGATCTGTTCTTTATATTATCATGCAAATTTTTCCTTATTTCACTAGGATCAATTGTTTTACTATTGGATTGGGTGGCTTTACAACATATTTTCCCCATGGTGTTGTAGACTCTCGGGGCCCTTCCACACAGCCTGGTATCCCAGAATATCAAGGCAGAAAATCCCAGTCAGATAACCTAGTTTAAAGCAGATATTGTGGGATTTTCTGCCTTGATATGCTGGACTACAGGGCTGCGTGGAAAGGCCTTCAGTTAACAAGGGATTAACAACCCGGTGGCGCAGTGGGTTAAACCCCTGTTCTGGCAGGACTGAAGACCGACAGGTCGCAGGTTCAAATCCGGGGAGTGGCGGATGAGCTCCCTCTATCAGCTCCAGCTCCTAATGCGGGGACATGAGAGAAGCCTCCCACAAGGATGATAAAAGCGTAAAATCATCTGGGCGTCCCCTGGGCAACGTCCTTGCAGACGGCCAATTCTCTCAAACCAGAAGCGGCTTGCAGTTTCTCAGGTTGCTCCTGACACGACCAAAAAAACAAAAAAACAAGGGGTTCTTTCACACAGCCCACAATATCTGCTTTGAACTGGGTTGTCTCAGGGCCCTTCCATACCGGCCCTATATCCCATGATCTGATCCCAGGTTTTCTGCTTTAAACTGGATTATATGAGTCCGCACTGCCATATAATCTGGGATAAACAGAAAACCTGGGATCAGATCCTGGGATATAGGGCCTGTCTGGAAGGGCCCTAAGGCCCTTTCCACACAGCTGAATTAAATTCCACATTATCTACTTCGAATTATCTGATCCCAGGTTTTCTGTTTATCCCAGATTATCTGGCAATGTGGACACATAATCCAGTTCAAAGCAGAAAACCTAGGCTCAGACCCTGGGTTATAGGGTTTGTCTGGAAGGGCCCTAAGGCCCTTTCCACACAGCTGAATTAAATTCCACATTATCTGCTTCGAATTGGATTATATGGCAGTGTGAAATCAGATCAGGCCCGTAGCCAGGATTTTGTTTCGGGGGGGGGGGGGGGCTGAATTTTTTTCAGGGGGGGTTTCGGGGGGGTGGCGGGGCTGAGTCTGAGTGAAAGAGGGTCTACCCTAGTCAACCTTTTGTATCATTACCCCAATACCCCCATGCATATGGGATATATTGAGTATGGTGATCAGATCATGATATGAATAAACATAACAGTTTAAATAATGCACCAGTAAGGCCTTTTCGCGAACCACCATGAGAATTTCGGGGGGGGGGGCTGAAGCCCTCCGAGCCCCCCCCCCCCCCCCCCCCCCGGCTACATGCCTGAATCAGATAACCCAGTTAAAGCAGATATTGTGGTATTTTCTGCCATGATAGTCTGGGTTATATAGCGGTGTGGAAGGGCCCTGAGTCCACATTGCCATATATTCCAGTTCAAAGCAGAAAATGTGGGAATTTATTCAGCTGTGTAAAGGGGGCCCAGGACTCAATCAACCTGAACTGTCAGGTAACCAGCAAAAAAAATTAAAGAAACAATACTTTAAATTTTAAAAAGCTGTTTTTGTAATACAGTAAAACTGTGTTACATTAAGTTTGTCTCAATTTGCCTTTATTATTGTATTTCAATATTTCAGTACAAGTTAGTCAAGGCAATACAGAGCTTATGGTGTGGTATAGGCCTATTTTTAACAGTAACCTTCAAGCAATTACATTCATTTGGCATCGGCTATGGGTGCCGGTTAACTGAGAATCTACTGTATTTTAATAACAATTTGCTTTATTTTATATTATGTTTTTTGTATGTGTGTTATCAGGATAATTTGTTTTGAGTCATATCTTTTGATAACATGTATTGGTCAGTTTGCTTTATATTATATTGTATCTTATCAGGATAATTTACTTTTATATACGAGTTATAGCTTTACATTTTATTGATCCTTCCCTCTATGTGTGTATCTATATATATATGTATATGTGAAGGTATATATGTGTATACCTTCATATATACATATAAATATAGTGGAGCCTTGGTATTCCTAGGGTTTGGTTCCAGGATCATCCATAAATACCAAAATCTATGGATGATTAAATCTTATTATATATAATTAAGTGGTCCACCTTATATAAAAATACAAAATCAAGATATAGTTTTTTGAAATTAAAAAAAATGTTTTCAAGACATTGTTGGTTGGAATCAATGGATATGGAAAGCTGACTATATACAGTAGACTCTCAGTTAACTGGCACCCATAGAGATTGGCAGATGCCAGATAAATGTAGTTTCTGTTTGTTTGAGAATTACTCTTAAAATAGGCCTTATACTACTATACCATATCATAAACTTGGTATTGACTTCATATTAATGTTGAAATATAGCAGTTAAAACCAAAATAAGGACAAACATGACTAAATGGAACACATTTTTACTGTTTTACTGTATTGCAACATTACTTTTTATTTAAAAGTATGTTTTTGGGGGGTTTTTTTGCCATTTACTTGAGAGTTGGGTTGCTTGAGTTCCAGTTAACTGGGAACCTATTATATATATTTTTGATTCTATGCTTTTGGCTGAATCTCTTGTTTTTGGTTGTTTTGTTTGTCAAATCAAATCAACTCTGGTGATCAATGGGGTGACAGATGTCGCAGCCAGATTCCCCTCACATTGTTTTGTTTGTAAAGTGCCATATATGTTGATGGTGCTATATAAGTGTCTGGTTTGCCTTTCTTAGCACAAGAGAGGAGAGGATCTCTCATCCATTATCCAAAGACCAGTTACTACTAATTTGGTTGCTTCTGTCTTGCACATTGCTTAATAGTGGGTTTATGCTTTGATTCTTTTTCATGGATTTGTGCCATGACCATAAACTAGGCATTAGGCCAATGGTCAACATAGTACTAGGTATCCGATACCAGAGAAATCAGGCTTCCCCAAAGGATTTTGTAGTTCAGGAAGTGCTGCAGGAAAGAGAGGACTCACTGATTCTGGTGAAAGCAATGACATTCAGCAAAGCATGCTATTAGTCATAGTGGCAAAGCCTAATTGTGATGATGCTGGCAATTCTCTCATTTTGTGTAAGATCCAAGGAATAATTTTGTGTAAAGTCTCTGGCCTGGTTTTGTTAGCATGCAGTAAAATTGTAGCAGGCAGGGCAGTATGTGTAAAAATGTAGCTTTTTATTTTTTTAGTTCTCTTCACCCTTACAATTCTATCTTCTATTCCTTGGTTGTTGCTTATGATGATTGTTTTATTGTTTTATTATTGGCATAATGTTGTTTTTTGTTGTTTTATATTACTGTTATATTTTATACTAGCTGTACCCGCCACACTTTGCTGTGGCAAACCTTCCCTCTTTCTCTCCTTCTTTCCCTCCTTCCTTCACTTTCTCTTTCCTTCCTTCCTTCCCGTCTTTCCTTCTCTTCTTCCTTCCTTATCTCTTTCCTTCCTTCCTCCTTTTTCTTTCTCTTCCTTTGTCTCTCATTTCTTCCTTCTCTCTTTCCTTTTTTCCTTCCCTCCCTCTTTCTCTACATCTTCCCCCTTTGTTTGCTCCCTCTTTCCTTCCTTCTTTCCCTTTTTTCTTTCCTTCTCTCCTTCCTTCCTTCTCTAACTTTCCTTCCTTCCCCCTTTTTCTTTCCCTCCCTCTTTCTCTCCTTTCTTCCTTCTCCACCTCTTTCCTTCCTTCTCTCTTTGCTTCCATGCTTCTTTCTTTCTCTCCCTCCCTCTTTCTTTCTCTTCCCTTCCCTTCCCTCCCCTCCCCCCTCCCTCTTTCTTAGTTTTTTCTGTATTGTCATTTAGCTTTTGGGGGCCTTTTAAGTCCTTTCTGCTGTGTTTTTCAGTGTTTTTATGAGTGAAGGGCATGCATTGGGTAGTTCAGTGTATTGTGTCCAAATTTGGTGTCAATCCCCCCCAGTGGTTTTAGAGTTCTGTTAATATCACAAACGAACATTACATTTTTATTAACATAGATGCTATGTTTTTACTCTGTGTTACTGGGGTTGGCCCCATGTAAGCCGCCCCGAGTCCCTTCGGGGTGATGGAAAATAAAAATAAAGTTATTATTATTATTATTATTATTATTATTCATTTTCCTCTCATTTGCATGTAGTCTAAAAAGTTGCAGAATTCGTATATTAATGGGGGTTCAGTTGTCCCTGAGCATTTACTAGGCCTGTTCCCGTCTGTTTAATTTTTGGATCAAATTTCTGTTTTATTTGCATGACAGAGGAGACTACAAAGTCAACCAGATTTGGCTTTCACTGGATAATCTGCGTGGACTGTGGCATCCGGATGCTCTCATATCCCTTAGTGAGAATGAGTTCTGAGTCCCTGTGCAGCCGGCTAAATCTGCCGCAGTGCTAATGCTCTTCTCTCATGATAGCTATCAGCTGATCAGCTGGTGGTTGCGTTTCTAGGACAGCAGCTTGCAGAAGATAGTAGACACCCACGTGATGGGCAGTTACTTGAAGCAGCTTTAGGCCTGAAGTTGAGAGGTGAATTTCAGGAGCAAAAGCATTCTTTCATTGCAGATGAGCTCAGCAGCAAGGACTAATTGTGTATCTGGATCTTGAAATGGTTGTATGTTTACAGATGCCACAAATGCATCATAAATCTCAAAATAATTATTTATGCTTTGTGTAAAGATTGTTACAGAATTTCTGTGTAGCTGAGCACAGATGGATTTGAGGCCAGCATTGTATGTTTTTTTTATAGCTCTTAATCGTTCACTGGGAAAGCAATAGGAAAAGTTTGATTTTTATTGTGCTGGTCTGAAATCCTTTAAATGTTCCACAGTTGCTACAGAAAGGAAACATAAGTTCATTTATAGTATATGACACTTGTAGGCCCACATGGGAGATGTATATTGTTCTGAAGAGTCTCAGCTTTATTTCTTTGTTTTGCTTTTTTAAGGCATAAGATTTTGGCCCTAGTTTGACCGACTCTCCTTGTTCACCATGGGGGAGCTCTTCCGGAGCGAAGAAATGACCCTCGCACAACTTTTTCTTCAGTCTGAAGCAGCGTACTGCTGTGTCAGCGAACTGGGAGAACTTGGAAAGGTCCAGTTTCGAGATGTACGTATCTGCTTTTAATATCTTCTGAGTTAGTTCAGTAACTAATTGTGCTTTTACTCTCAGACTTAAAAGAAAATTGTCTTCTTCTTATTTTAGCTGAATTTCTGTTCTGTTTAAATATTAGCGGCCTTGATTTGGCTACAGGTAACTTTTACCATGTCTACTGTATTGATAAAACTTGTATTGATAGGTTACCAGTTGTGACAGAAACGTGATTAGCTGAAATTTTAGTTTTTCTAATATAACAGCAGTTTAGCAAATTGCAAGAGGGCTTTGAGGAAGGTAAACACTGGTTCTCACTATCTCTCTACATACAGTTGTATGTCATGGTAATTATGTATTTTTATTGGCAGCTAAACCCAGATGTGAATGTGTTCCAACGTAAATTTGTTAACGAAGTTCGGAGGTGTGAAGAGATGGACAGGAAACTCCGTATGTCACTCCTGCTTTTGTGTTTTCCATTGTCTCTGTGTTGATTTATATAAATAAATCAGTTTGTGGGTCTTTTAAACCTTTCCTCACCTCTTTGTATCTGTGCTAGACAACAAGGTCTGTTTTTGTCCACTGCAAAAGATAGACTACTCCATAAAAACATAATAAAAGGTATGACTGATGGCTATATAATAGGTGGACTGTGTAAAAGAAAATGGTCCATGAGTGGCCACAGGAAATCTAAGGAGTCCTTTTCATACAGAAAATGACCCAGCTTTTAGAAATTTTTGCTGACATTTGAGGAGAGTGACTTGTGATAATCTGATCTCTAGGCAACTTTTTAAAAACTATATATGTGCCATGACTCCTCATCCATCCTGAAATTATATGAAATTATATGAAGGTCTATACAAGCGTTTCTCAACTTGGGGGGGGGGGGGGGGTCGCCAAAGACCACCAGAAAACACAGTATTTTCTGTTGGTCATGGGGGTTCTATGTGAGAAGTTTGGCCCAATTCTATTGTCTTTGATTGTAGGTGAACTATAAATCCCATCAACTACAACTCCCAAATGTCAAGGTCTCTTTCCCCCAAATTCCACCAGTGTTCACCTTTGGGCATATTGAGTATCTGTGCCAAGTTTGGTCCAGATCCATCATTGTTTGAGCCCACAGTGCTCTCTGGATGCCAATGAACTTCAACTCCAAAACTCAAGGTCAACGCCCACCAAACCGTTCCAGTATTTTTTGTTGGTCATGGGAGTTCTGAGTGCCTAGTTTAGTTCAATTCCATCATTGGTGGAGTTCATAATGTTCTTTGATTGTAGGTTAACAATAAATCCCAGCAACTACAATTCCCAAGTGACAAAATCACAACAACATAAGGAATTGTATTAAGGGGTCACAGCATTAAGAAGGTTGAGAAACACTGGTCTATACAATCTTTTTTCTTATTGTATGTTTGATGTTTAGCATTTGTTTATTACATGCTTCTTGGTTTTTGAAAATTGGAAGAGATATGTGTATGGGCTGATGGAGGGAGGCAGCAAAGGTTTAGTTATGGGATGTGGATTGGCAGGTCCTTGGGAATCTCCTTTCTCCCCATAATATTACACACCCTGCTTCAATCACTTCATCATCAAATTTCTGTTTTTTCCCCAGGATTTGTGGAGAAGGAGATTAAAAAGGCCAATATTCCTATCACAGACACTGGCGAGAATCCAGAGGTGCCATTTCCTCGTGACATGATCGATTTGGAGGTAAAGAACACTTTAGCTGAAGGGACTTTGTGAAGTCTTCACATCTTGGAGTACCTTGGTGCTTTGCAAGGCTCTAACTTCTCTTGCTGTATGGTAGGCTATCAAAGTAGGTTGAGGTGTGGGAGGAAATAACCAGGAAATTGGGGGATTCAGAGTGTGTCTGAGAGTACTATAATAGTTTGAGCAAATGCTTTGTGAATCATCTAGAGTTTGAAGATTCTCTTTGTAAATTATATGGTGCAAACTGATATCATGTACATGTTAAATTTATGTATATGGCTTTTCTTCCTGAATAAAGTATCCTGGGAACAGACAAAGCAATATTCCTTGAATGTTGTAAAATTAAATTTTAGTTGTATTGTGAATCATTTGGTGCCCCTGGTGGCACAGCGGGTAAAACCGCTGAGCTGCTGAACTTGCTGACTGAAAGGTTGGCAGTTCGAATCCAGGGAGTGGGGTGAGCTCCCGCTGTTAGCCCCAGCTTCTGCCAACCTAGCAGTTCGAAAACTTGCAAATGTGAGTAGATCATCAGGTACCGCTTTTGTGGAAAGGTACCAGTGCTCCATGCAGTTATGCTGTTTCAAGTTCAGTTTATTACGGTCAATGACCAGCTCATGAGAAGAGGGACACAGTCCCACACAAACACATCTGGTCTAAGGGTCAAGAGATTTAAAACTTCAAAACTTCAAAACTCTAAAACTTGACCTTGGAGGCATCTACGGACAATGTTGGCTCTTCGCCTTAGAAATGGAGATGAGCATTGCTCCTCAGAGTCAGACATGACTAGACAATGCCAAGGGAAACCTTTATATTTAGCTTAGTGAATAATTTAAAAATCTAAAAAAGAGAAAGATTATTTAAGTGTCACGGATCTCCACTCAGATTCCTAGAAAATGCTTTATTTTTTAAAGAAATATCTGGTTCTCTAAGAAATAAGATTTTTTCATAAATCGGATAATGATAGCCCTGCCAACTGGTTAATATCATTTGTATTAAGGATCTCTCTGTCTATTGAAGACAACTTTATTCAGCTTTGAGCTAAAGAGAAAGGTCTGCAGTCTGGTACAGTGTGTATTGGCTTGAATGACCCTTGGACTGGGAGTGATCCAAACAGTGAAAGAAAGATATATATGCAGATGTTGACAGCTAATCGTTGACTTATTTTTTTCTTGTTTCCTTCTTCTTTTTATCCTTCAAGGCAAACTTTGAGAAGATTGAAAATGAGCTCAAAGAGATAAACACAAACCAGGAGGCATTGAAAAGGAACTTCCTAGAGCTGACGGAATTAAAATTCATACTGCGCAAAACACAGCAATTTTTTGACGAGGTCAGAATATCGTATAACTTTTGCCTCTTATGCAGCTGGGCCAGCTCATCACCACATTCCTCTCTGAAAATGCTTGTTTAAGTTGCAATTTTTGGGCAGAGGTGTTGGTTTTAAGAAAAGTCTACAAGTTGTTTTGCATCATTCATATAAATATACAAGCCGGCCACCTCATGGCTTCATTATCTACAAGATGCTGTTAGACAAAAAGTTCTTGTCTAGGCAAGAAGATTGCCCAGGCAGTTGTCAGGGGTGTGTGTGTGTGTATCAGTTGTCAAGTATAAGTACTTCACGCTGTTAGACCTCTAAAATGATTACTGGAGGACTGCTGTAGAGTCCATTGTGGATACAGGAAAACAATAACAGTCAGAAGATTATAATGTTTCCGGTGTTGCTCTTTATAGTTAAACAATACATGGAATATCCTGTATACATATGAAATGTGGAATACTAATTTTATTCTATAGTATTTTTTCATATTCCAGTGTTAAAGCAGGCGAGTGGGAGACCACACTTGTGTCCTAGCTTGGCATTATCACTGTCATAGTAGGAGGCTCTTGTGTACCCAGGCCTGCTGCTCAGGAATATGAACTCCAAGTTTCTTGCCTCCTGGGTGGCTAGGGTCCCCCCCCCCTCTCTATTAGCCTTTTAGGAAGGGTAATAGGGAAAGTGAATCAGCAAGGATTTCTGAGAGATTATTAAAATGGTGTTATAAGCAAAGCCAAATTAATACTTTGAAAAGGTTGAGCTTCCAGATTATGTAGGGATAGAACACATTCAGATTTAGGTTCTTAAATCTTATCCACTAGAGATACTGAGTACATTAAATGCATTGTGTTAAGTCATTGTGATGTGTTATGGCCACCTTGGGTGTAGTACTAGTTGCCTGTAACCAGTAGCACACCCTCTTTCTAATTAAACACTTCAAGCAAACTTGATTCATAATGTTGCTTCCTCCAAATCCTCCTTGAAAGATTCTTACTGCTGCTTTCTCATCTCTTCACTTGCTCTGTGGATGATACAATGGGGAAGATGATCAATAATGTGTCTGGTGCTTTGTCTTCCAAGTGCTGAGTGTCACTTTACAGAGAGTGATATTTGGTGTGGTAGTCTAATAGATGGGCTTGGCTTGGCAACTGCCACCTTTAGAAATATGTTTCTTCTGCTTTGGAAATGAAAATTTAATCACTTAACCGTAGCAACAACGGAAAAACACTTGAAAATGTAGTTTTTGGGAAAGCATCCAATCTTGGTGAAATTTGTGCTTTGCTGATTTTTCATTTTCCTGGCAGCATACATCTATGTGAGTTAATGTTGAACCTTGTGTGTTGTTTGACAACTCACTTAACTGACATACCTCTTCATTCTTTTCTGAAGAGCAGGCTTATGTTGGACTACACGGCACTACTGCTAAATGTTGAGTTTAGGTTAATGGTGTGGTGATTTTGTATAAATGTTGCCTTAATTATAGCTGTGCTTCGTTTTCAATGTCTTTTTAAGCAACAGTCTAAATATACTGTGACTTTTAGGTCTTTGAACATTGCTGGACATATATTTGCCCTGAATGATGTTTTAAGATACAGATGTGACTGAAAAAGATGAAACTTAGGATTAGTTTTTAGAAGTGGCAGCAACTTGTGTCCAAATCGTATTACTTTAAACTGCAGGTGGAGGAGGATATGATGTACTATTCTTGCTAAACAGAAATATTATCTTCTGTTTGGCATATGGTTTCTATATGCAGAACCTTTTTTGTTTGGGGACAAATATTCCACCATGTAAATTCCGCTTGCATTTTGAACTGATACAGTCCACCTCATCTGTTGCCAAGAACCTCACAAATAAAGTGGTGCAGGATGGTCAATGTCACATGCTGAAAGTTGCAGTTAACTGCACAAAGTATTTCTTTAATGTTTTCAGTATTTAGAACCATTTTAGCAACTGTTTGGATTAGCCAAACCAGTGTGAACATTATGTACTGTGTAACTTTCCACTGAAATGCAGCTTCCGCAGTGTCATGAGTTACTTCATGTTTATTCTTTGAACAACTTCACATAAATAGACAGATGGTTCGTCAGTGATCCAGATTTGAGGCAGTACTTCTTAAGGTGGCACAGCCTCTTTGTTGCTCTGTCTTCCATTCCTTATTCTTGGTACTGAGAGTCTTGCTGCATTCAACATTTGAAGATTTTTGTAAATTGTTGGGGGGAGTTTGCAAAATATTGGTAATTTGACAGTAAGAAATGGTTTGCAAGGCAAGACTTTGATATGAAGAATTTTTGGCTGAAAGAAATTGACCCTTCTTGGTTTGCCATACTAGCTATTTCTTGACTGTGAAAAAAAAAAGAGAATGCAATGGTGTTGATTCTGTTAACTGGTGATCCTTTTCTCAGTCTTCATATTCTTGCTTTGTGTAAAACAGAGAAAACTGGAGAAATATCTCTGAATCTAATAGCCAGAGTAGATTGGAAGAAGACTGGAAAAGTAATGGTTAATGGCATGCAGTTCCCATCTCCTCCCTCTGATTTCTTTCTTTTTCTTTCATCATTTGCAGTCTTTAGTTCTCATTCTTCATCTATTCCTCTCATTGGTGGTCCTTGCTGCAGGCTTTGAAGACTGTGGAAAGTGTTTCTGTGTTCAATCTTGATGTTTGTTTAAGGGCTACCAGAAGGACCTTGAGTTGTATCTCCTGCACAGTTGTTTGTTAAGGCTGCTTTCAGAACATGGGTATTTTCACTGTGTTCCCTTTCCTCCATAGTTTATGCTACCTGATGGTAGAGATATTGACTTGGGTCTAAATCTTAGCGTAAGTCATCTAGAGTAGGCCCATTGAATTAAGTGGAAATATAATCAGCATGTATAAATTCCATGGATTCAACTGATCTGCTGCACTTCAGACTTGCAACTAATTTAGTTCCCAGTTCCTGTTGAAGGGGAGTAATCTCACCATAAATGCCCGTGTGAGCTCTCCTTAGAGGTAACATTTGTCCTCCCTTGCAATGAGCAGATCCTGAAGTATTCCATGGGGTTCATGGTAAAAATGGCAGTGGAAGAGATGTAAACCGTGAAGAGATGCAGGTTTTGAAATGAGCCTGAGCCTTCTGCCTCTTCTTGATTTCTCTTTGGCTTTTTTTTTTAAAGAATGATTTTTGACAGTGCAACTTTGCAGTGATATTATTTTTTGTATTGACAAATGCAACTCAAGATTCTTCATTTATAAACCACGTGTCTTTTTTGTGTGTATTGGAGTAGTTCTGCTTTGGAGTACAGTGACATTTTTTTCTGCTTTCTTTGTTCTGCTTCTTGGTGAAGACACAGTCAGCAGGGAGCTTCACGTTAGAATTTACAAAAGTGGCAGACCAGAGAATTAAGTGGGCTTCAAGGTAGATTAATGTGTTTATTATTAAAGGAGTCTAGTTTAGAGGTAAATATACATAAATATAATTTGAGCTAGTTCACATAATGCATTATAATTCTCTGTTCACTGGATTTCCACAGAACAGAACCTCTATTGACTACCCAAAACGCACAAAATATGGTGCATTATGCAAGCTTTCAAAACTTCATTGTTTTCTTCATCAGGCAAAGATGTTAAAAATCATATAATAGAAGAGAAGTGATAATGTTAGAACCACAGAGTATGTTTTGTCTCGGATGTCATTTATTTAATTCAATAAAGTATCACTGCCCTGTAGTTTTTGGATTTAATTGTGTTTTGCTGAATGTTTCCTGGATTTCAGGGTATGAAATAAAAGCATTTTGTACCTTTCTGAGAGGTTACAAACATTAAAGAATTAAGTCCCAGTCCATTAGATCTCTCTAGTAATATAGTTTCCCCTTTTGCAGCAAAATTTAGTATCTTTAAATCCAGGTGTTGGGCAAATAGCAAAATACAATTAAAGACACAGTGATAATTTATTGGGTCAGTCAATATGCATCTGAACTGACCACAGAAGTAACATCTCAGACAAAATATAGGGCTGTAACATAATCACTTTTCTTCTGATGTATGATTTTAACATGTTTGCCTGAAGAAGAAGCCAGTGAAGCTTTGAAAGCTTGCAGACAACCAAATGTATTTTGTGCATTTTGGTTGTCTGTTTTGTGGATTTTGTATTCTCTTGTATTTTGTCGCATGTCCAACACAGGTACCCATGAATATATTTCCAGTGTCTGGAATGTTACATGAAAAATGTTGCACATATAACATACATGTGATTAATTTGCCACATGTATGCTAGGTGTGCAGCATCTTCTATGCAACTGCATTGAATCTCCATCTTATGGGAAGTGTGTGGCCCTGAGTCACTTGAATGTAATGCAGAAATGCACAAAGATCCAAAATTGATTACACCTGATTATAATCTGTAAAAAAGAGGTTTTTTTCTGAAGGTTATTATTATAACATGCAGATAGGAACTGGCAGAGCAGGAGAGCATATTTGGTCTGAGAAACATCATTATGATTTGATCTAGACAGCATAATAAGCCAGAGTGTAGAATAAGGCAGGTTGCTGGTGCATGTTGCCAAGTTAGTCCCATTGCAAAAGGAAGAGGTTAAATAAACCAGGGACCTTATTTATTGTGATACCTGGACCTGGTATTCTGGCTTTCCTCTCTCTAGACAAGCTAATGTCTTATTCTTCTGGCTTGTTTGGAAAGCAATGAGCTGGGTTTGGATGTTATAATAAACAAACCACAGACATAAAGTCTATGGCACTTTTGATTAACTTTTCCCAAAAGCTCCAGAAAAGATGGAGCTTGGCTGATTATAAAATCTGAATATGGCCAGCACCTTGAGATTTGCCACCTTGAGATCTATTGTAAGGAGTCCTTTTGCACTTAGATTGACAAATCTATATATACACCACCATGTTCTCATGGCTTGTTATTGGCCTAATGTATGTTTTCCAAATCACATACTTGCTTTAGTTTTCAGGAGCTCTTGCATGCATCAGGAGGTAGAAGACTATCCCTCCAACTCTAGTTTTGTATGCTTCTTTTCTTTAAAATGTTTCTCTTTACTGTGTGGGCTGTCAAGATACAAATTATTTTAACTGTTTTGTCATGTTAATGCTGCTTCCAAAGGTGTGGCATCAACATCTTTCCTGAACTGTATCATTAGTGGTTATGCAAGTTAAGTTCCCAGAACTGTCAGTCAACTATTCACAGAGTGAAATTAACATACATATCCCTACTTATTTGAGTAATCACAAAGGTGATATACAGTTGTATAAAATATTTCAAGTCATGCTTGCTTTGTGTGAAAAGAAGCATGTTGTGAGTGACTATTGGGCATCAAAGCACTTTATGAGTAAGCCAACTGAGCTGCAGAAAATACAAATTACTTTTTGTCAAAATAGGACTTAAGGGATCTTGGGAGTTACAGTCACAAAACAGCTGGAGGTCTCTACTCTGGTATAAAATTATGTTTTTTTTTCTTTTTTCTTCTTCTTCTTTTGCTCTTCAATGTGAAACTTAGAGTATATATAGTGCAGTGTATATAGTATCACGTGCTTGGCCCAGTAATCTCAGTGTCAGTTCCTCAGTTGCTTTTTGCCTTATATTCTGGAATACCTTCATTGACAGATAGAGTATGTGTTCCCTGCCCTCCCCGTTAATATGGAAAAGTGACATAATTCACAGTTAAATGTTTGGGAAATGTTTCTTTGCCATCATAATTCTGTGGAGCTTAACTTGCAATCCAGAACAGTTTTTGCCCAGCTCCTAAAACTGGTGTGTTTCATAAGCATCTTGCTTATTTCCTTCTGTTGGTTTTCCATAGTTTCCTTGCTCGCCTTTTCATATTTTCATAGAGCTGTCTCTTCTCTCTCATTTTATCTCTCTTTTCTGTCTGCTTCTGTTCATTCATCTCCTGGTTCCTCATCCCCCTGCATGCCACTAACTAGTTTCATTAGATATTAATTGATTTGTGAATTCAGGCTGAATTGCATCATCAGCAGATGGCGGATCCCGATTTGTTGGAGGAGTCCTCATCACTGCTGGATCCAAGTGAAGTGGGAAGAGGAACCCCACTGCGACTGGGGTATGTAATATGTTTATGTTTTCATAACAGTCATTTGTTGCTTTGTAGACTCTCTTCTAAGGCACTGATATAGCTAGTTAAGACAACAGGACTTTAACCCGCATTCTTTCATCCTCTTCTTGGTTCCTTATCCAGGTAACCAGAAGAGAACAGGTCAATCCTTTTGGATATTTTGCATTTAACACATCCGCTCACTCTAGGAATTCACTTACTAGATGTTAGATCAATTAGCACATTTTAATTAATTAATAATGAGTGAATGGGGATGTAGATGTGACTCAGTTCACCTCTTGATCCAGGGATGGACAACCACAATTTTCTGCCCCTTGGAAGCCTCCAATGGCCACAAAAACTGCATGCAAGCACGTTTACAGAAACTAATTCAAAATTCGAGGTTGAAAGCCTGATTTTTTTTTTTAGCATTAAGGGTAAATTGCTGTGATTGATTTTTGTAGAAGAGGAAATTTAGTCTCTAGGGGCTGAGAAAAAAGGAAAAATTCAGAGACTTTGGAGGAGTTGTCTGCAAAAAAACAGCCAGGGTGTATGTGTGTCAATTCCCCTCACCTGTCTGATTTCCTCTAAGTTTGGTATTATACTTAGATGTTTGCTCATTTTTTTCTTCGCTATAGTGTTTTTTTTTCTTCATAATTTCATATCTTAAGGAATTTTGAAGAACAAACCTGCAATATGGGCAATGAATGTTAACCATATTACAAGTTTGGTCATCAGAACTACTGTCAGCCACTGCTGTGTAGGTTTGCGGCTTCTCGTGTTACTGGTTAGCAACTATGAGAGCAAAATTAAATTTTTGGTTCAGGGCCAATTTTTCTAAAAGTCTATTCAAAGAGTTTCATAATATGGGCAGAATGGGTTTTTAATAGATGGAATCTTCCAAAAGACTCCCATTATCTTTTGAGAGTGAAGCTTGTTTACATTTTGCTCAGTTCAGACATTACTCCAGATGATGGCTTGAGTTGATCATATCTAAAATCCAAAGAAGAGTTTGAACAGCGGAATGTACAAGAAGCAAACTATATAGAGCAGCGGTTCTCAATCTGCGGGTTCCCAGATGTTTTGGCCTTCAACTCTCAGAAATCCTAATGGCTGGTAAACTGGCTGGGATTTTTGGAAGTTGTAGGCCAAAACACCTGAGGACCCACAGGTTGAGAACCACTGATATAGAGCATATAGCTTTTGTTTTCTTTTATCTAAGTACTGTGCCATTAAGTACATAGTTATCTCCTTGATAGATTGATTTGCATGCCCTATCCCCTCCGAAAAATTTCCATCCCAGTTATATCCTACCTTGCTCATGCCCAGCATTATTTTTTAATTTTTAAATTTTACATTTGGCCCAGCCTTAGGTTTTAAATGCTTGTTGTGTTACTGTACTGATTTATTTTATTTTATTTTTGTTTATGAGATGTATTTTAACTGTTTTTGTTATTGTTCGTTGCTATTGTTTTATTATTGATGCGTGTGGGCTCGGCCTCACGTCAGCCGCACCGAGTTCCTTGGGGAGATGGTAGTGGGGTATAAATAAAGATGATGATGATGATTATTATTATTCAAGGATTTTTGGGGTAGGTGAAGCCAATAAGGATGCCGTATCAATTCAGACAACATCCCAAATTAAAAATAGCAGACAATAGGTTTTGTACTTGAAACTCTGGCTTCTTGTTTGCTGGCCAGTTGCAAACCTATGGTTTGTTGATTCATACTTACTTGGTTTGGGTGATTTCTGAATTTTCTTTTCTAGCTCCACAGTGTGACTTCATATCTTGGGGGCAGGGCAGGTGGTGGTGGTGGTGGTGGGGGATTCTATGTTCTTATATACACTGTGCTGATGAGTACATTGTTCTAACACATTATGCCATTTCCTTTTGCCTTGCACTTGTACCATGGACAGATTTGTGGCTGGTGTCATTAGCCGTGAGCGGATCCCCACTTTTGAACGAATGCTATGGAGGGTATGCCGTGGAAACGTCTTCCTGCGTCAAGCTGAAATTGAGAATCCACTGGAAGACCCTGTCACGGTACAAAAATTATTTCTGTTCAAGCAATCTGCTGTGCTTTGATATGCCAAACCTTCTAGCTTGGCCTTTAATGTATTGTTTTTCTTGACAAGACATGGATTAAGACATGGTTTCTGCTATCGATTTGGGTGAAAGCTTATTTTTATTGTGTTCTGTGAAATCAAGGAACCACTTGGCTTGCTGCGAAGCTCTGTACCATATCAAGTTAATGTGGGAGATTCTGAAAGAAATTGGCATTTCCTTTTGAAAAAAAAGTGTGCCACCTGCTATGTCAGTAGCCTAAAAAATGTAATTGGATTTTAAAAACCCAACACAGTGATTCAGCTGCAGAATTTGAATAATCTCTCAATTGGGTTTAAATTTGTGTACTCTGATATAGGTGTTCTATATATTTAAATCTGCACTGGATTTTAAATATGACTACTTAATTTGGAGGCGCACTACATATGGTTCTGCAAATGCCCTGTTACGAATATCAGGTGACCCAAAATGTACCACTAAAATTTGTCTTGAAGTAGGCTTTCTGAGTCACCTTCCCTCTATTATGAATTGATAAAGTTCTAACTGCTATTAAGTTTGCATATAGTGCTATGATTCTCATCAGGATTGTGCGAAAGTTTCCTGATAGAGGCAACTCAGCTTCTTGTTTGAACAAATGCAGGAAGGCAGGGAATTGCTATCTGAGCCTGGCCAGCAGCCTGAGGAATGCACCTCTAGCCTCCCTGGAGAGCTCAGGGGTTGGACTCCAAAGTACACCCGAGGCATGAGTTCCTTTCCATTCACTTCTGGTTGTTTACTCCAAAGCTTATTCTTGTCCAGCTACTTAGCTTATTGGCCTGGTTTTTTGGTTTTATTAGGATTCTTCTGTACCTTCAAAGTTCATTAACTGAGTTGAATATTCTCCCTCCATCCTCTTTTGTAGAAGCCTAGTGAGGTGCCCTTTAATCTCCAGTTGGACTATTTGATATTCTTTCTGGATAGTTGTGAAGTTGTGAACTGGATGGACATTGAAATCAGCCTGATCAGTTCAAAAGTGACTCTTGAAAGTCATGACAGTCTATTTCTGCAAAATCTATAAGCAAGTTTACCTGGCAACTATTGTACAGTTTTTAACTATACAGAGGCTGCTGAGATGTGTGGAGTTTAAAAGGCTATAACATGGCTATGGGAACAACCCTGGGGGCAGGTTTTGCAGCAGTGTGACTCTCACAGCTTTCAAGAAACATTGAGGCAGTCTTCAAAATGTATCTAGCTATGTTTCCAGGTTTTCACAACTTAGTTTCATTATGGGGCTTCTATTGAGAACGATGCTGGTCATGCAGTTAAGTAACTAAGCTACAAATGACTTTTTTTTTAACAAGACGAGTGACCCCTGATTTTGATCTTGTGATAGGACTTGAATCCATTTGCTCCTTACTTTTAAAAAAATTATTTATTGTTTTACTCCACTCCCACCCTCCGCCCTTTCCCCTTGGACATAGCCTTTGTACAATAAACTATAGAAATTACATTTGAAATATCAGTCTTAATCTCCATTTTTCCACTCCACATCTTTGCTTCTTACTGTGAACCTAATTCAGATTAAACCCTTGTGCCGGTATGACTGCTGACTGAAAGGTCGGCGGTTCGCATCCGGGTAGTTTGGGTTGAGCTCCTATCTGTCAGCTCCAGCTTCTCATGTGGAAACATGAGAGAAGCCTCCCACATGATGGTAAAACATCCGGATGTCTCCTGGGCAACGTCCTTGCAGACGGCCAATTCTCTTACACCAGAAGCAAAGTGCAGTTTCTCAAATTGCTCCTGACATGAAAAAAAATCCTATACTTGCTGTTCACACTTGAAGAAGATTTGCCATTGATTAAAGAGTCTGGAATGGGTTTTGAGGGGGTAATTGGATGTGTGTAGCTTTTCTTTTCTTTGCCATGCATGGCAAGGCTGTCTTGCTTGAGTTCTCTAGCATAGGTTATTCCATCTTTGGAGGTTGATGCACAAGAACAGATTTCCTCCCAGCATTCCCGGGACTACTCTGCTGTATCATGAAAAGCTTTTTGTCTTAACTAAAGCAATATAGTCGTTTTTATTCCTCCCGGCTGTTTTTCAAGATGTTTAAGGCAATCTGCTTTTTACATATAGAGTCTCTCATCATGTATTCCTCACAACATCCTTGGGTTCCCTGTAGAAGAACGTTAAACCTATTTGCTGGTTAATGAAGAGCCCAGTACTGCTAGTGCTTGAGACATTGTAGGGTTAACTCCAAACATTTATTTTGTTATTGCTATGAAAATTCTCTTTCCATTAGTTTATTTTTTTTCTTCTAGGGTGACTACGTGCACAAGTCTGTGTTCATTATTTTCTTCCAAGGTGACCAACTGAAAAACAGAGTTAAGAAGATTTGTGAAGGGTAAGCAAGTTGAAGGCTTATTTGTGTCTCGTTTGAGTTGAAGCAACCCATACAACTCATCTGAATTCTCTTTTCTTTGAAAGACAATTGATATAACCCTGTTTTCTATCAATCACTTTTCATTTACAGCTGGCATTTACATGTTTAGCATCCCTTCATCTTAGTAGCTGTCCATGTGTCTTTCAGATTCCGGGCTTCTCTCTATCCCTGCCCAGAAACACCCCAGGAGAGGAAGGAAATGGCTGCTGGAGTCAACACCAGGATTGATGACCTTCAGATGGTATAAGTAGTGGTGGGAATAAGAAGAGGGAGGTTTTTTCCTTCTTTGTTATAATGGCTTTACCTTTGAGCTTGCAGTTGTTCTCTGCCATGGCTTCCTGTCTTTTAGTAGGTTTGTTACTCCCACAGTGTAAATTGGAATGTGTTTCTCATTTCACTACATCAACGATGGGAATTGTGCAGCCCCCTGGATATTTTTGAACTGCAGTTCTCAGCATTATGTCATTGGACCTTGGGAGTTGCAGTCCAACAACTCTTGGAAGATTGCACAGTTCCCATCTCAGTCTAAATTTTAAAAATGCTGTGGATCTGATATCTAATGCAACTTGTTTCTAGAAAGAGGAGTGGTATTGCCCTTATTGTGTCTTTCTATGGGATTTTGGAAGGTTTTGCAGTACCTTTGGGTCTGCTGCACTACTGCTTTATTGTGTATTTTTGTTTTTGCAAAGGAATAATATTTTAATACATTTTGCGGATGTGCTGAGCGGGTAACATCTCAGTAATACTGATGATCCCTTTGCATTGAGTGACATCCAAAAGTTCCAGGTGTTATTTCCCTAACTGGGCAAGCCCATGAGAATGAATGATACTACCAATAAAAAAACCCTAAAAATTCCAATATTAAGAGCATGGGGGCATTCCAACCTTACTGTATTTCCCCTATACTGCAGCTTGATAGATAATACTGTAGGGAGAGGGGAGGAAACAAGCCAGCCTTTATCTGATTTTGCTCTGTTGTGTATTTTTGATTGCACAAGATAAGTGTTATATTCCTCCAATTAATAGGTTCATATAACAATTACGGTACATTCACAATTGAGATCCCAGAATACAAATTATGTATATGATGCTTCAGGTTCAAACTGATCAACAAATGAAAGCTGCATGGTATCCATTTGTTTTCCTCACTTCTGTACACGAAGTGGTTCCAGCCCAAGAAAATTTAGTCCCCAATATAGGCCTTTAAACTTTTGATAGTGTCATTGAATTATTTCAGATTGTTTTGATATCTGAGTAGGCATTAATGTATGAGGCACTTTTTAAAACAATTTCAGTCTTCCTTCTGACCTCATTATATGACTGATGGGTGACTAAGTTTAAAACTTCTCTATGTGCTGACTCCACATTGGTTATGTTTTTTGATGAATATGAGGGTAGCCTTGAGAGAGTACCAGATGCTCCATTTAGTAGCTGTCACAATGATGGCATCACACTTGCCTTCAGTGTTAGACATCAGAATGGATGACATTTTTCCAGAACTTTGGTGCTGAATAGCTACAGAACATTATGGCAATTCTGCTTTGTTTATTTGGCCTCTTGGAATAGTATGCTTGATCATGTGAGTTAATTTATTATTGATCTCCTGGAGCAAATGTGCAGCCTGTGGGCACTGTTGATTTTTGTTTTGCTGCTTTCCTAATCAGTGGTGACTCTGCAGGACTGTGTCCTATTGGCTGAAACCAAAATACCAACCCCACCCATTCTTGGAAAGTAAAGGTTTTTGCCATTTTAGGCTTTGTAACCTAGGAAACAGGCTATTGCATTTGTTCAAAGATAAAGCTTTAGCTGACATGGAATACTGTAGCTTACCTAGCTTATAGGAGTTTGAAGGAACTAATCTACCATAACTTTATGGTTCAAGATATTAGGCTTGTTTTCTCAAGACTTGGAATCATCAGGTCTTTGAAAAGCATTTCTCCTATCAGTACATGTTCTGTGGTGGAGGTTCTGCCTATTGATAACAGAATGGCCACAATATATACCGATTGCCCTAAGGCAGGGGTCCTCAAACTATGGCCGGAGGGCCAGATACAGCCCTCCAAGGTCATTTACCCAGCCCTCACTCAAGGTCAACCTAAGTCTGAAATGAGTTGAAAGCACACAACAACAACAATCTTATCTCATCAGCTAAAAGCAGGCCCACACTTCCCACTGAAATACTAATAAGTTTATATTTGTTAAAATTGTTCTTCATTTTAATTATTGTATTGTTTAAAAGTTTTTGTGTGCTACAAATAAGATATGTGCAGTGTGCATAGGAATTCATTCATGCTTTTTTCAAATGATAATCCGGCCCTCCAACAGTTTGAGGGACTGTGACCTAGCCCTCTGTTTAAAAAGTTTGAAGACCCCTACTCTAAGGGATAAAGATTCCCAATATGCCTCTCAACTAGCTTTCAGAGAATGTAAAAGTATTGACTCTGAAATAAAGTAAAAAGAGGCTCTTGCTGTGGCTTCCAGAACCGTTATTTTGCTGTAGTCCTGTCATGAAGATAGCTTGTGTCATTGAGGGCCACAAAGATCATGTGAAATTTTTTTTTTTAAAAAAATTAAAAACAAAATTTCCGAGACCACTTGGTCTCTCTGCATTCCCTCATTATAAGAAATCAGCATCATTAATGCAAAGTTCCAAACAATTATATTCCCATATGGCACTCCTTCTAGCAAGTAGTACCAGGTGTAGGGAAAAAGTAAAACATCTCTGAGTTGAAAATACATTCCTTCCTTTGAAATAGTCAGAGGGAATACTCTGGAAAGGTCAAGAATGTGCTTATGCATGAGTAACCTATGGAAAATGGAGCAACCCATGGAATAGTGGAAAATGGAGCAACATGATTGGAATAGTGGAACAAGTGAGCAGGGTGGTCTTTTCCACTCCCACCTACTTTACCATTCTGCAGTTGTATGTGCCTCCCTTTGATTACAGCTGAATATTTTGTTGATATGGAAGGGACCAGTGCATTTCTCATTTTGCGGGTAATATGCCTTTGAAATAAATCATTCTTTGGTGAGAACTGAACGTCCTGTGAACCACGGCTTATGAATGCTGCACAAAGAGACTCTAGAAACTGAGTGGGTAATTTGAGTGTGTGCAGAGATAAAGTTTAAAGTACCTTATGTCAGAGAGAACTGTTTCGTTTTTCTATAAAGTATAAGATTGAGAAGAAATGCCTTACATACCTCCTTCCAGTAGATACAAAATAAACAATTCACATTAAGGCATATGGAAAACTATCTTTTAAAAACATTTTTACATGGTGAGGCAAATTTTATAGGTGGCATTTCACAAAATTTGAAGCAGAGTTAAAATCCACAATGTTGTTACTTAGACGATCCCTCGTAGCCTGAAGCTGATGGCCCTCCAAGTGTAGTGTCTTGGCGGTGGATACTTAGGTGGCTCTGGAGACCTATTCTTGATCCGCATGTTTTTCTGCAGTGAGGACATCGGTTTCCAGGTGGGAGGTGGTCCTGGTCAGAGTTGGCTTGCTGTGCCTTCCTCTTGGCATGTTTCTCCCTTTCACCCTCCATTCATGCCTCTTCAAATTCTGCAGCACTGCTGGTCACAGCTGAGCTCCAGTTAGAGTGCTCAAGTGTCAGGGCTTTCCGGTTCTCTGTGTCTATTCCACAGTTTTTAAGGTTGGCTTTAATCCCATCTTTAAATCTCTTTTCCTGTCCATCAACATTACGTTTTTCATTCTTGAGTTCAGAGTATAGTAACTGCTTTGGTAGACAGTGATCGGGCATTCAGACAACATGGCCAGTCCAGCGGAGTTGATGGAGTAGGAGCATCACTTCAATGCTGGTGGTCTATCCTTTTTCCAGCATGCTGACATTTGTCCACCTTTCTTCCTAAGAGATTTATTATTATTATTATTATTATTATTAACTTTATTTGTACCCCGCTAGCATCTCCCGAAGGACTCGATGCGGCTTACACAGGCCGAAGCCCCAAAAACACAATATAATAAAAACAGACACCACAAAAGCAAGACAAATCAAACAATAGCAAAATAATAATAACAATAGCAGTACATCAAGACATTATTAAAACTGGTTCGGCCGGTGCACTGGGTACAAAGGTTAAAAGTGCTGAAATAGCAGGAGGCACGTAGGGTTTCAAGTGCGGTGTGCAGCGACGATAATTGTTATGCTAAGGAGCTACTCGGACTTGGGGTAGGGATTCCTAATCTGAAAAGGCACAGCGGAACAGCCAAGTTTTTAAATTCCTTCTGAAAACAGCTAGAGAAGGGGCCTGTCTGAGATCCTTTGGGAGGGCGTTCCAAAGTCGGGGGGCCGCCACAGAAAAGGCCCTGTCCCGTGTCCCCACCAAGCGCGCTTGCGACGTAGGTGGGATCACGAGCAGGGCCTCCAGATGACCGGAGCGAGCGTGTGGGTTCGTAGATGGAGATGCGGTCACGCAGGTAGGGGGGTCCCAAACCGTTCAGGGCTTTGTAGGTGAGCACCTGCACCTTGAATTGGGCGGAAAATAAATGGCAGCCAGTGGAGCTCCTTAAACAGAGGGGTAGACCTCTCTTGAAAATGAGCCCCAGTTAGCATCCTGGCTGCTGCCCGTTGGACCAATTGAAGTTTCCGAGCCGTCTTCAAGGGCAGCCCCACGTAGAGCGCATTGCAGTAATCCATTCTAGAGGTGACCAAGGCGTGGACCACCCCGGCCAGATCAGCCTTCACGAGGTATGGTCGCAGTTGGCGCACAAGTCTCAGTTGCGCAAAGGCCCTCCCGGATACTGCCGACACCTGAGCCTCAAGTGTAAGCGAAGAATCCAAGAGGACGCCCAAACTGCGGACCTGTGGCTTTAGGGGGAGTGTAACCCCATCCAACACAGGCAACCACCCTATACCCCGATCCGGTTTACGATCGACCAGGAGGACCTCTGTCTTATCGGGATTGATCTTCAGCTTGTTCCTCCTCATCCAGATCGACACAGCGGCTAGGCACTCATCTAGCACCAGAGAAGCCTCCTTGGAATTAGGTGGAAAAGAGTAGTAGAGTTGTGTGTCATCCGCGTAGAGATGGCACCCAACTCCAAAACTCCGGATGACCTCTCCCAGCGGTTTCATGTAGATGTTAAAAAGCATGGGCGACAAAATAGAGCCTTGCGGGACCCCACAGGTCAAAGGCCAGGGGTCAGCAGGCGTCTCCCAGCTTCACCATCTGAGTTCGTCCCTCCAGGAAGGACTGGAGCCACGACAGAACCGTGC